GCGGTTGTGGCTTCTTGATATAAGAAGCTTCTTGCTTTTAGTGGTTGAATTTATGACTTAGTCCTTAATAGCTGGATTTTCAAAAGGGCTCAGCCTCCACAACTGGGAGCATATTGTCAGAAAAGCTCAGCTCCCATTAGGCACCTACCAGAAGTGTCAGATTTTCTGAAGTGCTGGGCATGCAGCATCTCCCATTGTTAATTCTTCTGCTTGACATTCTGTCATCCCTGGGCTTTCAGGACTCAGTCTTCTGGTGGTTCCCCCCCTGTTTCTTGGGTTGCTCCTTCATTGGCTACATCCCCTTCTCTATCACCCCAGGATTTCAGGTTTATGGATCTTGGGTAGCAGATACAATACTCCTGTTCGGGGCTCTAGGGGTGTGTCTGTGCGGATTTGTTCTTGTGCTTTTTCAGGAAGTTTCTTGAGCCGATGGTGTAGTTTCTTTAGGTAACCCTCAGTGGGATCAGAGGGTAATGGCTTGTAGAAAGTGGTGTTGGAGAGCTACCAAGCAGCCTCTTGTTCATATTCTGAGCTATTCATGATGACGACAGCACCTCCTTTGTCAGCCTTTTTGATTATGATGTCAGAGTTGTTTCTGAGGCTGTGGATGGCATTGTGTTCTGTATGGCTGAGGTTATGGGGCAAGTGATGCTGCTTTTCCACAATTTCAGCCCATGCATGTTGGCGGAAGCAGTCTATGTAGAAGTCCAGTCTGTTGTTTCGACCTTCAGGAGGAGTCCACCCAGAATCCTTCTTTTTGTAGTCTTGGTAGGAAGTCTCTGTGGGTTAGTATGTTGTTCAGAGGTGTGTTGGAAATATTCCTTGAGTCGGAGACATCAAAAATAGGATTCTAGGTCACCACAGAACTGTAATGTTCATGGGGGTGGAGGGGCAGAAGGAGAGGCCCCGAGATAGGACAGATTCTTCTGCTGGGCTAAGGTATATTTGGATAGATTAACAATATTGCTGGGTGGGTTAAGGGAACCACTGTTGTGGCCCCTTGTGGTGTGTAGTAGTTTAGATAGTTTAGTGTCCTTTTTCTTTTGTAGCGAAGCAAAGTGTGTGTTGTAAATGGCTTGTCTAGTTTTTGTAAAGTTCAGCCATGAGGAAGTTTGTGTGGAAGGTTGTTTTTATGAGAAACTCCCTGAAAAAGCACAAGAACAAATCCGCACAGACACACCCCTAGAACCCCGACCAGGGGTATTCTATCTGCTACCCAAGATCCATAAACCTGGAAATCCTGGACGCCCCATCATCTCAGGCATTGGCACCCTGACAGCAGGATTGTCTGGCTATGTAGACTCCCTCCTCAGGCTTACGCTACCAGCACTCCCAGCTATCTTTGAGACACCACTGACTTCCTGAGGAAACTACAATCCATCGGTGATCTTCCTGAAAACACCATCCTAGCCACTCAGGATGTAGAAGCCCTCTACACCAACATTCCACACAAAGATGGACTACAAGCCTTGTATCCCCGATGAACAGTATCCCCGATAATGTCACGGCAAACCTGGTGACTGAACTTTGTGACTTTGTCCTCACCTATAACTATTTCACATTTGGGGACAATGTATACCTTCAAATCAGTGGCACTGCTATGTGTACCCGCATGGCCCCACAGTATGCCAACATTTTTATGGCTGACTTAGAACAACGCTTCCTCAGCTCTCGTCCCCTAATGCCTCTACTCTACTTGTGCTACATTGATGACATCTTCATCATCTGGACCCATGGAAAAGAAGCCCTTGAGGAATTCCACCATGATTTCAACAATTTCCATCCCACCATCAACCTCAGCCTAGACCAGTCCATACAAGTGATCCACTTTCTGGACACTATGGTGCTAATAAGTGATGGTCACATAAACACCACCCTATACCGGAAACCTACTGACCGCTATTCCTACCTCCAGCTTTCATCCAGACCGCACCACACAATCCATTGTCTACAGCCAAGCTCTACGATACAACCACATTTGCTCCAACCCCTCAGACAGAGACAAACACCTACAAGATCTCTATCAAGCGTTCTTACAACTACAATACCCACCTGGGGAAGTGAAGAAACAGGTTGACGGAGCCAGAAGAGTACCCAGAAGTTACCTACTACAGGACAGGCCCAACAAAGAAAATAACAGAATGCCACTAGCCATCACCTTCAGCCCCCAACTAAAACCTCTCCAGCGCATCATCAAGGATCTACAACCTATCCTGAAGGACGACCCATCACTCTCAGAGATCTTGGGAGACAGGCCAGTCCTTGCTTACAGACAGCCCCCAAGCCTGAAGCAAATACTGACCAGCAACCACACAACAGAACCACTAACCTATCCTTGCAACAAAGCCTGTTGCCAACTGTGTCCACATATCTATTCAGGGGAAACCATCATAGGGCTTAATCACATCAGCCACAGTATCAGAGGCTTGTTCACTGCACATCTACCAATGTGATATATGCCATCATGTGCGAGCAATGCCCCTCTGCCATGTACATTGGTCAAACTGGACAGTCTCTACGTAAAAGAAAAAATGGACACAAATCAGACATCAAGAATTAGAACATTCAAAAACCAGTTGGAGAACACTTCAATCTCTCTGGTCACTCGATTACAGACCTAAAAGTGGCAATTCTTCAACAAAAAAACTTCAAAAACAGACTCCAACGAGAAACTGCTGAATTGGAATTAATTTGCAAACTGGATACAATTAATTTAGGCTTGAGTAAAGACTGGGAATGGATGTGTCATTACAAAAAGTCAAACTATTTCCCCATGTTTATTCCCCCCCCCACTGTTTCTCACACCAACTGCTGGAAATGGCCCACCTTGATTATCACTACAAAAGGTTCCTCCGCCCCCCGCTCTCCTACTGGTAATAGCTCACCTTACCTGATCACTCTTGTTACAGTGTGTATGGTAACACCCATTGTTTCATGTTCTCTGTGTATATAAAATCTCCGCACTGTATTTTCCACTACATGCATCCGATGAAGTGAGCTGTAGCTCACGAAAGCTTATGCTCAGATAAATTTGTTCGTCTCTAAGGTGCCACAAGTACTCCTTTTCCTTTTGCGGATACAGACTAACACGGCTGCTACTCTGAAAACTACTCAGAACCTGTCACCCTCCATCCAACTAAAGTCTTGGCCTGTCTCTCTGATGTCCCCTCCTGTCCAGCCATTAACTGAAACTTAAACATGGCCGGAAAGGACCTCTTGATATTTCCTCCACCTTGTTTACCCAGTCCTCCTTTGATTCTTCCAAAGTTCTTGGCTTCAATCCCCTTGTCCCTATCTCCGTCACAGTGGACAGTGCCACCCTCTTCCCTCCTGCTCAGACATTTAATCTCATCTTCACCTTTGACTCAGGCCTTCTCCTTTGACCTACACATCCAGGCCAGGTAAAAATTGTGTCACTTCTTCTTGCCAATGTAGTGGGGCGGCTGCCCCACTCCTGGAAAACAAGGGTTAAAAGCAGCCCTGGAGAGGGCTCTGGCTGTGAAAGGCAAGGCTGATTGGGAACGCAACCACAGCTGTGGCCAGCTCAATCAGGGCCCAGCTGGCCCTTATAAGAGGGCTGGGGGTCAGGGGCTAAAGGAGTCTCACTCTAGCCCTGGAGTGGGAAGGGCTAGCTGCCTATGAGCAAGGTACCGAAGCAGAGCAGTGCTGGGGAATAGGGCAAGGGACCTGGGGAACTCCAGCCTGGTAAAGCCCCAGGCTGCAGGCCTTGTTGAAGGCCCAGAAAGGTACTGGGGCTGCAGAGGGGCAGCCCGAGGATAGACAAAGGCAGCAGGTCCTACCCTCTTGCCAACGATGAGTGGCCATTACACTGCAGTCTGCCCCAGTGAGCAGGGGCTAGATGATGACTGGCAGTAGCCACTGAGGCAAGGTGGGTTTAGAGGGTTGGGGGTTCCCCAGGGAGGGGAGACCCAGAGTGTAGGGGTACTGCTGGGGCAGAACTCTGAGGTAAAGAGGCTCCGGCGTCCAGGAGAGACACGGGGCCAGCAGCAGGTGAGACACTGGCCCGCAGAGGATGCTCTGGGCTGGACCAGAGCTAATTCCCTAGACAACCAGCAGGAGGTGCCGTGCCAGTGAGTCTTTGCTTCGCTACACTCAGCATCTCCAAGATCCAGCCTTTCTTCTCTGCTCACAGAGGCAAAATACTTGTCCAGACACTGACCATCTTGCACCGTGACCACTGAAATCCCCTCTTCAGTCTCAGTGCCTGCAATCCCCTCCCCCACCCCCGGGTTTATTCAACATGCTGCTGCTAGATCATTCTCCTGGCTTGCTGTTCTATGTCACCCCTGTCTACACCCTGCCACTGAGTCCCCCTCTTCCACCACATCAGATGCAATCTTCTTATCCCAACTTTCAAAGCCTTCCGTAGCCCTACGTATCCGTCCTACCGTTTTCTCATGATATTGACTCTTGCTTTCACTCTGCCAGTGATGCTCACTTTGATTGCCCCCTGACTTCTTCTCCCACAAGCACCTTCACCCTTTCTCTCTTGCTGCTCCTCATGAAAAAATCCAGAGAGCCCCTGTCTTATCCTCCTTCAACCCTCCTGAAACCTCTCCACTTCTGTAATGCATACAAAGAAGTGTCAGTATAACAACCACTGGGCAGGGGATGAGCTGTTTATACTGTGATTACTGCTCCTGACTGGCTAAGAATTGTGCAAACTGGTCATCTTTGTTAAAAAGCCTATACTTTTTGTTGCCCTGTTTGTTTTCCCCACTCCTGACCCCCTGTTTCTCATTCACCTGGTATGTCTTGTCTCTGAGGGCTTGCTTAAATGGGGACACTCATGAAAGCTAATCCAAATTAACTAAATGTGTGAATTCAAAGCCAGCTAGTTAAACCTCATTAAACCCTGCATGGATGCTTTTACTCAGAAGTAAAATGACCTTAATTTGGTTTAGCTTAATTACATTTTTGAAAGTGAATTAAAATGGACCGAATTTTGATTACTTTAATTCTGAGTAAGAATGTCCACATGGGTTTAATGGGGTTTAATTAATCTGCTTTGAATTACACCTTTAGTTAATATGAATTAATTTTCAGGAGTGTCCACATGTAGACATGCCTTTAGCCCTTGTCTACACTATGGGGTTAGGTCAAATTTAGCTGCGTTAGGTTGATTTTAAAATGAATGCGTGTACACAACCAACCCTGTTCTGTCAACCTAAAGGGCTCTTAAAATTGACTTCTGTACTCCTCCCCGGCGAGGGGAGTAGCACTAAAATCGACCTTGCCGGGTTGAATTTGGGGTAGTGCAGATGCAATTCGATGGTACTGGCCTCCTGGGAGATATCCCAGAGTGCTCCAATGTGACCGCTCTGGACAGCACTTTGAACTCCAATGCACTAGCCAGGTACACAGGAAAAGCCCTGGGAAATTTTGAATTTCATTTCCTGTTTGGTCAGCATGGAGAGCTCAGCAGCACTGGTGATCATGCAGTCCCCCCAGAATCGCAAACAAGCTCCAGCATGGAGCGAAAGGGAGACACTGGATCTGATTGCTGTATGGGGAGAAGAATTTGTGCAGGCCAAACTCCGATCAAAAAGAAAAAATGCTAATATATATGCCAAAATCGCACAGAGCATGTTAGAGAGAGGCTACAACAGGGACACACAGCAGTGCCGCATGAAAGTTAAGGAGCTGAGGCAAGCCTACCAAAAGACAAAGGAGGCAAATGGTTGCTCTGAGTCAAAGCCCCATATATGCTGCTTCTATGATCAGCTGCATGGCATTCTAGGAGGGGACCCTACCACCACCCCACCACTGTCCGTGGACACCTGCAAGGGGGGAGTCTCATGCAACGGGGAGGAGGATTTTGTGGATGATGAGGAGGAGGAGAATGCGCAGCAGGCAAGTGGTGAATCTGTTCTCCCCGTCAGCCAGGACCTTTTCATCACCCTGGAGCCAATACCCTCCCAAGGCAGAATCCCCGACCCTAAAGCCGGAGAAGGCACCTCTGGTGAGTGCATATTTGTAACTACAGTACAGGGTTTAAAAGCAATGGTGTTTAATGTTTGATTTGCCCTGAAGAATTGGGATGCATTCGCGGCCAGTACAGCTACTGGAAAAGTCTGTTAACGTGTCTGGGGATGGAGCGGGAATCCTCCAGGGACATCTCCATGAAGTTCTCCTGAAGGTACTCTGAAAGCCTTTGCAGAAGGTTTCTGGGGAGGGCTGCCTTATTTTGTCCTCCATGGTAGGACACTTTACCATGCTAAGCCAGTAGCAAGTAGTCTGGAATCATTGCAGCACAAAGCATGGCAGCGATTGGTCCTGGGTTTTGGTCACATTCAAGCAACATTCTGTCTTTATCTTTCTGTGTTAGCCTCAGGAGAGTGATATTATTCATGGTCACCTGGTTGGAATAAGACAATTTTTGTAAGGGAACAGTAAAAGGATCCCGTTCATGCTGGGTTGTTTGCGCTTGGCTAAAAGGGATCATCCCAGAGAATAGCCATGTGGCGGGGGGAGGGGTGAAGGGATCATCCCAGAGAATAGCCGTGGGGTGGGGGGAGGTGTGTACTGCACATTCACCTGAAAACTGCAGCCCCTCCTTTTAAATGTGAAACCCAACTAGCATTGCTTGCTATGGGAAAGGATGGTGCTGCAGTTTGAAACCATTCCCACATGTTATGAAGGCGGAAGAAGCCAACCCCCTGTACCAAAAGGCTTACCATGGCTGCCTGGAAACTGAATTCTGTTGCCCAGTTGTGTATGATGTGTCACCTTACCGGCAGGCGCTCAATATAAAAGGCAAAATGTGACCTTGTACCTAAAGCACATGTGCTGTGTGCTGTGAATTGCTTGATTCACTGTGAAAGAGTCTCCCTTTTGTTTTCATAAATGCATCATTTTAAACTTTACTCTCCTGTTTTATCTCCCCCCAGGTGCAAATGTTTCTATGCTCCCCCTATCATCTCCGTCCCTGAGGTTATCGCAGATTAGAAGGTGAAAAAAACACACTCACGGTGACATGTTTTCCGAGCTCATGCAGTCCTCCCGCACTGATAGGGCACAGCTTAATGCATGGAGGCATTCAGTGGCAGAGGCCAGGAAAGCATTAAGTGAGTGCGAAGAGCAGAGGCAGGAGGTGATGTTGAGGCTAATGGGGGAGCAAACGGACATGATGAAGCATCTGTTGGAGCTGCAGGAAAGTCAACCAAGAGCACAGACCCCCGCTGCATCCATTGTATAACTGCCTGCCCTCCTCCCCAAGTTCCATATCCTCCTCACCCAGTCACCCAATAACACGGGGTGGGGAGGCTCCATGCACCCAGCCACTCCTCTCTAGAGGATGGCCCAAGCAACAGAAGGCTGTCATTCAAACAGTTTTGATTTGTAGCATGGCTACACTAAGCAATGTGGCCTTGTTCTTCCCTCCTCCCGCACCCCACACCACCTGGGATACTTTGTCAAGTTATCTCACTTTTTTTTTAATTACTAAAGAAAGTATGCATGGTTTCAAAACAATAGTTACTTTATTTCCTTTGCCAGCTGTGATCAAAGGGGGGAGGGTGGCTGGCTTACAGGGAATTAAAATCAACAAGGGGGGCGGGCTTGCAGCAAGAAGAAACACACACAGATGTCACACCGTAGCCTGGCCAGTCACAAAACTGGTTTTCAAAGCTTCCCTGATGTGCAGCGCGCCCTGCTGCACTCTTCTAATCACCCTGTTGTCTGGCTGTGTGAAACTGGCCGCCAGGCGAGTTGCCTCAACCTCCCATCCTGCCATAAACTTCACGGATATTACTCTCACAGATATTGTGGAGCACACAACAAGCAGCAATTACAATTGGAATATTGCTTGTGCTGAGATCTAACCGAGTCAGTAAACTGCGCCAGTGTGCTTTCAAATGTCCAAACGCACATTCTACCACCATTCTGCACTTGCTCAGCCTATAGTTGAACCACTCCTTACTACTGTCCAGGCTGCCTGTATACGGCTTCATGAGCCATGGGAGCAAGGGGTAGGCTGGGTCCCCAAGGATAACTATTGGCATTTCAACATCCCCAATGGTAATGTTCTGTTCGGGGAAGTAAGTCCCTTCTTGCAACTGCTCGAACAGCCCTGAGTTCCTAAAGATGCGAGCGTCATGCACCTTTCCCGGCCATCCCACGTTGATGTCGGTGAAATGTCCCTTGTGGTCCACCAGTGCTTGCAGCACCATTGAGAAGTACCCCCTTGCAGTTTACGTACTGGTTGGCAAGGTGGTCCTCTGCCAAGACAGGGATATGTGTTCCGTCTATCGCCCCACTACAGTTAGGGAACCCCATTGCAGCAAAGCTATCCCTTATGACCTGCACATTTCCCAGAGTCACTACCCTTGATAGCAGAACATCAGTGATTGCATTGGCTACTTGGATCACAGCAGTGCCCACAGTAGACTTGCCCACTCCAAATTGATTCCTGACTGACTGGTAGCAGTCAGGTGCTGCAAGCTTCCACAGGGCTATCGCCACTCACTTCTCAACTGTCAGGGCAGCTCTCATCTTGGTATTCCTGCGCTTCAGGGCGGGGGAAAGCAACGCAAAAAGTTCAAGGAAAATAGCCATACGCATGCAAAAGTTTCACAGCCACTGTGAATCATCCCATACCTGCAACACTATGCGGTTCCACCAGTCTGTGCTTGTTTGCCAGGCCCAGAATCGGCGTTCCACTGTATCAACCAGTCCCACTGCTGCCATGATGTCCCAACTGCCACAGCCCGTGCTTTCAGGAACATCCGTGTCCATGTCCTCATCACAATCATCCTCATGCTGGCGTCTCTTAGCCTGGTTCTGCATGTACTCCAGGATAAATGCGTGAGGTGTTTACAATGCTCACAACAGCAGCAGTGAGATGAGTGGGCTCCATGCTTGCCATGGTATGGCGTCTGCATGGGTAACCCAGGAAAAAAGGCGTGAAACAATTGTCTGCCGTTGCTTTCACAGGGGGAGGGAGGGACGGGCAACTGACAACATGTACCCAAACCACCCTCGACAATGTTTTTGTCTCATCAGGCATTAGGAGCTTAACCCAGCATTCCAATGGGCAGCGGAGACTGCGGGAACTGTGGGATAGCTACCCACAGTGCACCGCTCCGTAAGTTGATGCTAGCCATGGTATTGAGGATGCACTCCGTCTACTTAATGCACTTAGTAGGGACATACACAATTGACTGTATAAAACCAATTTCTAAAAATCGACTTCTATAAAATCGACTTAATTTCATAGGGTAGACATACCCTTAGACTGTAAAGTCTTTGAGGCTAGGACTGTTGTTTACTATGTGTTTGTACAGCTCCTAACACAATGGCATCCTGACCTGGTTGAGGTCTCTTGACGTTATCACTATATAAGTATAGTAGAGTTTATGTGTAAATAGTGTTCAGCCTGAGCTCTCCCAATATTGGCGTGTATCTCAGAAATCTTGACAACTGGCTAAAGAAAAATGGGGCACTTCCTAGGCCAGCGTTTCCCAAACTGTGTTCCGCGGAACACTGGTGTTCCGCACGATGTGAATAGGTGTTCTGTGAAAGAATCTAGAATTTAATTTTGACTCTTGCACTTGATTTTTGTACTACTTTATACACGCTTTCCAGTTAGAAATTGTTAGTTCAAGTTATTTTAAATTTGTATTTTTGCTTTGTTTTATAAAATAAAATATATTTGAGCATAAATAACACAATTTTCTATTTGAAAACCAAATGACTACAAAATAATATTATAAGTGTTCCGTAATAGGCTAAAAAGTGTTCCGTGGCCAAAAAAGTTTGGGAAATGCTGTCCTAAACAATGAAAAACAGCAGGTCAAAGAGGTAGAAATGCTAAAATGAAACAACTTGTTTCCAACCAGGGATAGCAGTTTGAATGGATGATGGAGTCACAGCACCCCAGCAATCCAGCACTGCGGAAATCTAGCCTATTTCCATCATCGGTCCCTGCAGGAGCTGCCAAGGCAGACACACTGCAAAGCAGGTCAGCCGCACTTTGAATGTGACAGCCCTTTAATCTCCATTGTCACATGAGCAACTGCCCAGAAAAAAATAAATCCGGTGTATAAGAAGTGTCTGCCCTTGGGCACATTGTAATCATGCCTTCTACGTGATCACAACATTTCATTATGCTGCTGGCATTTATCGTCATGACAGCACTTACAAAGGTTCCTCATGTACTTTGCTATCCTAGAATTGTTCAATATAATGGCAAGAAAGAGTTCTCTGATCACATGGGCCCAAATCAAACCCCTTGATCCAAGCAGCACCTAATGTGGAGGAAGTTTGGATGCACTTGGCATCTGGTTTCTATCTCATGCTGACCTACAACCCCTTGATATCAACAGAGTCAAACTTTGCAGCTCAGGCACATCTCTATCCTACACATAGAAAAAGTATTCGTGGCCCTGATGCCATTCTAAAGAAGCAGGAGTGGCCTTGACCTCATTCTAACACCCTGGTTTTGGTGCCTTGGAACTCTCTGAAATGTTTACTTTTCTGTTTTTGCATCTGTCTGAAGGTGATTTTTATTTTGCGTTTGAACAAAAACAATCCAGTCATGTCTGAGTTCAAGGACAATGATGACTATACTTTTAACAATGAAGGAGAACTTCCTGTGAGCTTTTAAATAGCTCTACAGATGAACTGGCGAGGGTAGAGCGCTGACATCAGGCCACATTGAGGAGACCTGCCTTGGAGACTTTCCAGTGAAATTTTGTTTTTAATTGGACTAGGTTATGACCCTGTGGAAATTGCATGTGACACATGCCCAGTACATTTTGCACGGGCTTTTACCCACGCTTATTAAGGATCTAATTCTGCTATTCATTTGCACACAGATGCAGTGTCATGGCGTACAGCTAATGATGGTGGCTTTGCACATGGCTAATGTATAGCTAGTAGCTACGTATTGAATAGTATACTGAAGGTGTAAAGGGGCAGAGAGCCCTGCTGTGCATTTGGGAGATTCTCCAGGGAGCGCCTCACTCTGATGCATTTTATTTATTTTTTGCATTATCCTAATGTCTTAATAGTTACCCAGCTCCTAAGACTCTCAGCACCTCTCGATGTGCACAGAATAAATTCTCCTGCAAGTGTTGAGTTAAATAGTTCCTGGATATGGAATTTACACACGATTACTGTCAACTTGTTGCGAGCCAGTGGAGCTTTAAAACCCTTTGAGCGAAGCGCCTTCTTTTTTGTTCCTTTCCTTTTTAAAACTTAGGCTAATCTATAGCTACATTTCTGTGAAGACAGAGTTAAGGTTGCCCAATTAAATGCTCAAAAGTAGAGATACCTCAGCAAAGGCTGCTTACGTAAGCTTAACTCTGCCCCTGTGAGTGATTCTCCCCACTTTAATTACCTGATCATGTACATGCTGTAAAAGGGTGGCTTGCCCCTTAAGGGCTGGACGGCAGGGGCTAGCTGAACCTGATTACAGACTGAGCCACACCTGGGAAAGATCAGGATGATTGCCCTATAAAGAGCAGCAGGAAGCTGCAGTGGAGGGGAGAAGCTCAGAAACTGGTAGAGAGATTGCCGGGAGTGAATGGGAAGGGCTTCTGCATGGAAGACCCTGTGACTGAGAGGAGCCCAGGAAGCAGGGGGCTCCTTTGGGGAAACCTGGATGGAGTTTGGGTCTAGACATTTAGGAGCCTAAGAAGTCTGTTCTAACTAGGAAGAGCTGGGAGCATGGGCTGTTGTGGCGAAGTGGGGGATATTCTTAAGAGTTTTGCATGAATATTGTGTGGGTCACAGTTTCCCTGTGTGTTTAAGGAGGTGGGGTGAGAGGGTTTGTTGTTACAGAGGACCAGGTGTGACCTCGCCTAGCGGTCAGGACCCTGGACAACTGCCTGGAGATGTGGGATCCGAGCAACCCATGATCTGTTGACAAGGAGGCCCATCCCAGCTTGGCAGTCAGCCGGTCCTGACCAGAGGGAGGACAAAGGGCTGAGGAGAGAGGACCCCAAAAGGGCTGAGGAGAGATCTGACAGCCAGTTCCAGCCAGTGGGGAACAAAGGACGGAAGAGAGAAGGCCCAGGCAACTTGTTTACCTGGGTCCAAAGACAAAGGATAGTGGAGGAGCTGTTGCAGGAGATGATATAGGATGATTGGCTGGAAGGAGGGAGCTTCTGGACTGGGGAGAGAGAGAAGCCAGAGCCCACCTGGATGCAGGAGAGACCTAGATGTACTGTGCTGAGGGTTGCTAGGTCTGAGGGCCTAGAGAGTTTCCTGTGCTTGGATCACATGCTCAGTAAACCCTCTTGATTTACGTTGGTGGAGGGTTGCTCGGGTCTAGAGATGAAGGTTGCATTATTCCCTCTAGGCGTGGAGGCCCCGGGGTCCAGAGCAAGTGGACTCCCTGAGGGGGCCCACGACAAGGGACAGGCATGCTGAAGGCTCAGAGAAGTGCGGTTCCAGG